GGAAGTAAGCGGCGAGGGTGACGAAGGTGATGGTGTCGGCAGCCATAGCCGAGGTGAAGGGTTGACCGGGTGTTGACCAGAGCGTTGACCAGAGGGCTGACCAAGGGTTGACCAGGCGTTGACCGAGGGTGTTGACCAAGCATTAACTGGGGGGGTGCCCGCGTTGACTCAGCGATGACCAAGGCGTTGACCGGAGCTGCTGACGAAGATTTTAACCAAGCTCAAGTTGGTGATATCTCACTGAGCCCTTAGCCTATCCCCTTACCCTGTGGATGTGCACTTACCCCACGGTACTTGCTGAGTTTAAGTCTGTCTGTCTTTCCTTTCTACATTGAGTCTCTTCTGTCTTAGGTGATAGCTCTCTATGGATGAAGGATAGGGCCTTGCTGCCAAACCTGCACGGGACTTAGTAGGACTAATATCTACTCTGGCATCTGGAGACCTGGGCATGAGCGGCGAGCGCTCGTTAAACAACTCGTCTAGCCCAATGACCGGTACTGTCCGGCAGGTCTACTGAGTTAAGTGTAGAGGGTCTGAACTCCGAGCTGTAGGCTGAAACGAAGGCCGTCTTTAAGTGTTGAGGCCTGGTTGAACCACTCCCCTACCGGACCTAGTAAGGCTGATGATATGTGTCTGACGACTCGACTGTCCCGAGGGATACGAACAGGGATACGAACCCCTCCAAGGACCGGTACAGAGCGGCGGCCTGCTCGGTGTGGCACAGTAGGCCGGAACGGCTGAGTTATGGGCTGAAATCGCCAGGAAGAACTACGCTGATCACGTCGTCCTGACTGCGACGTTAAAGAATTCTTGAGGAGTTTGGGGGATCTCCTTAAATGCCTCTTGATCAGCTGTTAGTTCAGTAATGACAGCGTTGTGAGTAGTGGATCTTAAAGAGTAGACAGTAGGTTAGTGTGTCCGGGTAGGTCTAAGTGGTGAGGAGTGGGACCCTTGTCGTGCACCTAGCACCACGATGGACGACTATCCGATGTATGGGTTGCTGGTTGGGTTCTCTCTCTGGGGGACCCTCTGGCGTCTCCTCTTTCCTCTGGGGTTCTGGCACACCTTCACGTATAGAGTAGATACCCGGGGTGGTGCCTCCACCAGGCCATACACGAAGGAGGAGGAGGAGGAGATGGCCGCCATCTTGCAGGAGAGGAAGGAGAAGAAGGAGGCCAAGAAGAAGGCCTTGAAGGAGGAGCAGGCGGCCAAATTGAAAAAGATAGAAGAAGAGATGGCCAGAGAGAAGGAGAGGATACAGAAAGAAGAGGAAGCGAAGTTGAAAGAGGTGGAAGAGGAGGAAGAAGATGAAACGCGGCTGCAGAGGAAGAAGGGGCAGTACATTGGCAGTAGGGATGAGGAGATGGAGAAGCGGATTTTAGAGTGGGTCGCCAACTTGTCCCTGCGCGAAGAATAAGAAGTGGCGATGTACATCTCTAAGGACGATCAGGAAACCGCTATGAGAGCTTGGGAAGCAGAAAAAGATGTTGTGAAGATGCAGGCAATGGAAGATGAGAAGAGAATGGAATGGAGGTTGGCAGTGATGACGGAGAAGAAGAGGACAGTGGACGCGGCAGCGGAGGCGGCAGAAAAATTAGAGGAGGTAAAAAAGATAGAAGAACAACTAGCCGCCCAGACTGAACTCCCTACCCAAATGCGACTCATAGCTCGAAATGTTGCACGCCTGGCACGAATTCAGGCGGAGCAATATGACTTTAGTAAGAGTCAGCATATAGCTGTGCGTTCAATAAAGTTGGGGTTCCGCGACTTTGCGCGTGAGCTGGTAGGCGCTATAGGAACCGAGTTGGGCCACCGCCTCGACAAGACTGAGCGGTTCTGTGCCAGCGCCATTGAAGGCGATAAAGCGGCAGCTCCCAAGGAGAAGGAAGCACGTCCTCCTCACAGGGAACCGGTCAAGGTCAAATTTCCTGATTCATACAATGGGAAAAGGGAAGAAAACTTTGACAACTGGGAGGCCAACGTTAAGACCCATGTGCACTTGCAACACGTCTCCCCGGATCAGCAGGTTCTAATTGCGATCGACGCGCTGAGAGATGAAACCGCCAGTTTTGCAAGGTCCCACTGCCAACTGTAGTGACGATCCCGTTGCGAACTCCTCGTTCACGTCCCTCACCGAATTCTTGAAGTTGTTGCGCGAGAGATTCGTTGATGTCGCCCGCAGCGTTAAAGCCTCAGATAGCCTGCAGACGATCCACTCTCGTAAGTGGAAAAGTGTCAGGGCCCTTAAGAGTACAATGGATGAGTTAGTGGTTGTCCCTGACCACGGGGTTACTGACAACCAGTTGGTCGGCCTCTTCTATCGGGCTATACCCGAAGCCCTTCGAGGGCATTTCTTCGCAAAGAGCGAAGATCCTGCCACTACGTACGATTCTCTTAGTCATGAGGTGGTGGCCTTTGAGAGCAAGTCTATATCAGTTTCCACCTTCTGGCACAAAGATTTGGATAAGGGAAAGCAATGGAAGGGCCGCACTATTTCTGGGCAGGTAAAGACCAAGGACAGCCTTGTCCTGACCTTAGATGAGGGTAGTGTAGATGAGATCCCCTACGAACAGATCGAGTCGAGGTTAGAGGAAGAGGACAGCGGTGTGGGCCAGGGGAGGACTTACGCTGCTGTCGCGGCTGGAGGGAGGCAGCAAGGAGGACGAGGCAAGGGCCAAGGGGGCCGGGCCTCAGGGAGCCGGTTTCAGGGCGATCAGGGGTTGGCGGTAGAGGAGGAAACCGCCAAGCGGGAGGATGGCACCCGGGRCTACCAMAGGGTAGGCMTTGGGAAACTTTGGGTCTGSACCAGACTTTATGGCAACAACGATTGGACCGGGGCAGTGCATTTTTTGCGGTGACCCGGGCCATATCATTAAATACTGTCCTAAGTATCGCGAGACCCGAACGGCTGCCCAAGGGTCAAAAGGCAGCCGCCGATAGGGGTAGCAACTGCCCCTACCATTAGGCCATGTGGGGAACATAGCGCTAGCCGGCAGGAGACTCCCACACCACATGTGCCTATGACAGAGGTTGCAGGCCGGTGTCTAGATAGCTGCCCAGACACCTCCCTCACAGGCGTAGCCGGAGAGTTGAAGGAGAGGAGGTCCGCCAGGGCCAAGATGAAGAAGGAGAATAAAGGGCAGTTGATCTTACTAGGTACATAAGTTTTTAGAGGTAGAGTAGGGGTTCTAGTAGACTCAGGGGCCACCCGCATCTATATTAATAAGAAAGCGCTGCAGAAGTTGAGGCTGAGACTTAAAGTCCAGAAATTGACAGACCCCATAGTTAGTATCCTCGCAGACAATCGTACCATGGTTGTAGAGGATTACGTAGAGGGAGTCCAGGCGTATTTCCGCCTAGAGAAAGATGGGAAAGTGGAGAAGGTCCTCCCCTCCCTAACTCTTCTCGTAGAAGACAGCCTCCCATTTGATATTGTTCTGGGAATGGATTGGGGAGAGGCAGCCGGGGCCACGCTCCATTTGAAGGAGCACGAGTGTAGGCTCCCTAGTTCTTCAGGCGAGACTAAGACTGCCCGCCTGTTTCACGTGTCAGGAGTAGAGAATCCACTGGCACATTGCTKCCTTAGYGCGCYTGCATTCACCAGATTAKTAAAGAAGGAGAAACTGGAGGAACAGGTTTTTGTCGCCTATGTTAGGTCGGTGACTGAGCCTACGGAGGAAAAACCRATGGACCCTGCGATTGCCAARCTGCTGGAARAGTTCAAGGATCTAACTGAGCCGCCGATAGRAGTAGTACYGCGGCCCATCCAGCACCGCATTGAGATAGAGYCTGGCAGTAGAACTCCTAAGGGCGYTGTGTATAGGATGTCCCCACGGGAGTTAGAGRAGCTTCGCAAGCAATKAGACGAGCTCCTCGAGAAGGGTTGGATTAGACCCAGTTCGTCTMCTTTTGGAGCGCCTGTTCTCTTWKTTCCTAAGAAAGAGGGAGWGYTGAGGAYGWGCATAGACTATAGGGGTCTGAATGCTATTACAGTAAAGAATGYTGAGCCACTACCTAGGATAGACGATCTCTTARATCGAGTGCAGGGGGCGAAGTAWTTTTCCAAGATAGATTTGAAGTCYGGGTATCATCAGATAGAAGTGCATCMTGATGATCAGTATAAGACAGCCTTYCGGACTAGATATGGRCACTACGAGTTCATAGTAATGCCCTTTGGACTAACCAATGCGYCAGCTACATTCYARCGYTGTATGAACGATTTGTTTAKGWYGTGGTTAGACAGATTTGTTGTAGTTTACCTWGATGACATTCTARTGTTTAGCAGGACCCTCGAAGACCATCAGGGTCATCTCAGGCAGGTCTTGGAGAAGYTGAGGGAAGCTAACTTCAAGATCAATGCAAAGAAGTGYGATTGGGCGAAAACCCAAGTTTTGTACTTAGGYCACRTCTTAGACGGAGACGGCGWTAAGCCAGAGGATAGCAAGATCGCAGCGATTAGAGATTGGYCCACRCCACGTACGCTGACAGAGTTGCGCTSGTTCCTRGGCTTAGCTAATTACTACCGRAAGTTCGTRAGGAACTTCTCTACCATCGCTGCGCCCCTTCGCAGATTGTTGAGAAAGGAGACCATCTRGAAGTGGRATAAGGAYTGCACGTCTGCCATGAAGAAGTTAAAGCAGGCAKTGATARAGTATYCAGTCCTTAAAGTCGYCGATCCGTCCTTGCCCTTTGKCGTCAYGACCRATGCGAGTCAATACGGCATAGGCGYAGTGTTACAGCAAGACGATGGCAATGGGTATARACCCGTAGAGTTCATGTCCGCCAGAATRCCTTAAGAGAAGGTCGYGACATCTACCTATGAGAGGGAACTCTACGCTCTCARGCAAGCCTTAGACCACTGGAAGCACTACTTGCTTGGGAGGCACTTCAAAGTCTATTCCGACCATGAAACGTTACGATGGTTAAAGMCGCAGGCCAAGATGACACCTAAGCTTACTAGGTGGGCCGCAGAGATAGATCAGTACGACTTCGAGCTCAAGCCTGTCAAAGGGAAGTACAACGTAGTCGCGGATGCCCTGAGTAGAAGAGCTGATTACTTTGGGGCAATAGTACATTACCTCGATATACGGAAGGATCTGCAGCAGAAGGTTAGAGAAGCCTACGCGCAGGACCCTATCTACAGTGACCTCCTCAAGAAGGTCAAGGAGGCCCCAGAGACTGAACCGAACTACYKCACTACTGAGGGGTTGCCTTTYTAGAAGACTAATGTTTTTGACCGGCTGTGCATCCCCAATAGCGAAGAGATCCGTAGTTTGATTTGGGGGGAATGCCACGACACAGAGGGTCATTTCGGTTGGCAAAAGACTTTAGCCAATCTGATGCGCGCGTATGCCTGGCCAGGGATGAAGAATTACTGCGTAGAGTATGTTCGCAGTTGTAAGGTTTGCCAGCGCAACAAGAGTTCTATGCGCGCCCCGCTAGGTCTTCTCAGACCCTTGCCCATTCCGGATCAGCCGGGAAAGACTTCATGGACACTCAAGTCAAGAGTAGGCATGGCAAGAGCCAAGYCATGGTCATAGTTGACCGTTTTAGTAAGTACGCAGTTTTTGTTCCTTTGCCTTCAGAGGCACGTACTGATTTAGTYATACAAAGATTTTTTTACTATTGGGTGAGGGAGAATGGAATCCCACTGTCTATAGTTAGCGATAGAGATAGTCGCTTTACTAGCCAGCACTGGCAAGAACTCATGGGAGTATATGGATCTAAGTTGCTGATGTCGTCCGRCCGTCATCCAGAGACWAACGGTCATACAGAGCAAATGAACAAGATCTTACAGCAAGTTTTGCGTATGTACATTAGGCCAGATCAGATTAACTGGGACRAGATGTTGCCTAAAGTAGCTAGTGCGTATAATAACMGYGTGCATTTATCCAYCTGCCGCACTCCCAACRAACTRCACAAGTCCTTTAGACCGCGCAGACCGTTTGAGGGACTCAACCGGGATCAGATTCACAGATTACCGYYCGGGACCAGGGGKTTTGTTGTACMGCACGAGAAAGAACTAGCTATTRTTGTAGAGAAYCTCGGSAAAGCCCAACATAGGATGATAGACCAAGCGAACAAACATCKTCGCCCCTCACAGTTTCAAGTAGGCGACTTAGTYTGGGTCAGTTCTAAGGAGTTTACACCTGAGGAGAACATCTCGCAGAAGTTGCTGCCCACATATAGAGGACCGTGGCCCGTTCTAGAAGTCAAGGGCGGTGAAGATGGACCGTCATATACCATAGAACTCCCAGCACACCTCCACACTTATCCAGTTTTTCATGCATCGAAGTTGTTACCTTATCAGACAAGTGATCGGTTTCCATCCCGTAGATCAATGATCCCAGCGGATATGGATGGGAGATATGAGATCGATGGTACAGTGGCTGAAGATGCCTTCAGAACTGGGGGTAGGGGTCGTCCGCAGAAACAGTATAAGGTTCATTTTAGTTACCAAGAACCGGAAGACGACCACCGGTTTACAAGATCTGAACTTCTAGAAACAGCTCCCGATATAGTCCGGGCCTACGAGAGACAACAGCGAGGTAAAGGTCCTTCCTTGGACTGAAATTTTCTCGAAGGACCTCGAATTTAGGCCGGCGGGAGTGAAACGGTATTCACCAGTTCGCAGTAGCGAATGCAGATCCCAAGGCTCGATCCCTAGTTCCTCGTCTTACCTGTGTACAGTACCAGTGTCAACCCGTAGATTTGAACCTGCAACCTGTAGGACCGCCAGTGGTAGGTAGGTTTTCGTAGGTCACAGGGTAGAAGGGAATCGAACTGTAGACCTGTAGGGTAGGAGTCTAGACAGTTCCGAAGTCGTAGTTGTAAGATGTCTGAAAGGGTCAAGGTGGTAGCTGCTACTTACCTGAAGGGGCAAAGTCGTAGCTGCTACAGTACCGAAAGGCCAAGTTAGAGGTTTCTAGAAGTGGCCTTTCGGAGGGAGCCTGCGTTGAACAGAGGCAAGTGGTCAAGTGGTGGTAGGCCACCTCGCTGAGTCAACAGTCCCAGTTAGGCAGTCCGGTCCTGTCCAGCAAGTACCGTCTGGGACTGTGTGCACCAGGGGCCAAGGGACACAGGGCAGACCAACGCAGCGCAGAAGTATAAATGAAGAGGCTGCGTCCAGCCATTATTCATTCCTGCGGAAGCCATACGGAAGCGCTGCCTCAGCAGCTTGTGC